AGATTTGCTTCGTTATGTCTCCCTTGATGTAGCCTTCCTTGATTTGAGCTATGCATGTTGCGTTATCTTTACATATAATCGTAACATTCTTCTTGATTTCTTTCAAACTGCATGCTCCTTGTATGAGATTAATCATCAATCTCTACCATGCTCGCTCTCGATCACTGTCGTATAATGCTATCAGTTCGGCTTGATTCCATGTTGTTCGTGCTCGCGCAGTCAACTTCCAAGAAAATATCGTATCACCATATGTGAACACATACCTGTCTAATTTCACACATAAAATTTTGGTACTGCAGGACCAAGTACTTCTTCACCCTTTTCAATTCTGGGAGGCAATTAGAATGTATGAATGAACAACCATGGGTATGTTCAAAGGATGAGCTTTATCCATATTTCAACGTGTTAACATCTTCTGGATGTAGTTTAACTTATGGACAAATGTGCCATCATATAGGTGTTTAAAATACAATCCTAAGTATAATTTATGTCATGTCAAGATCTTTCATCTCAAATTCTCTCTTCAAGAGTTCAATAGTTTTTTTCTCTATTTATACGTCGACGTAAACTGCTATAATAAAAAATATTGAGAGCGATCCTTGAATGACAACACATAGGTTGATTTCAAATTTGTATCTTTATTTTTCGAGATATTCATTGGGTCAATTGTACCATATGACCAGATTACTTGAGACCATTCCACGATCTCTTCACACATATCTCGATGTATTAATTTTATTGCTTCTGGCATTTTGAATCCTTCAGGGATTATTATCACACAGATGTCGATTTCAAGTGTCCATTATAATTCTGTTATAACGACATCTATATCATTTATTTGAAGTCCTTTTGAGATTGCGAGGCCAATTAAAATTCTAAAAGGATATTGCATCCACTAGTGGAGAATACGTTTCCTCATAATCAACTCCTGGGATTAGGGAAAAACGCTTGCCTTACAAGTAGTACTTCATATCGCGCAATCTCATTCATTTTATTTCTATTTATTACAAACACCCATTTTAAACCTATTGGTTTGACGTCTATGGGTGTTCAGACTTCAGGTCCGAAAATATTCCGTTTATCGAGTGACTTATATTCGACCTTCAAGGTCTTTTGCCATTTGGCAAATCATTTATGTACTATCTACATGTACTCTTCTTTGAGTTTAGGCATGTAATCTCTTTTATTGATTACATCCATTGCCATAGCATATGCAAGAATATCATTAACACGTGTTTCATTTCGGTTCCATATTGTACAGTCTCGTACATAATTAATAGAGATCTCATTTTCTTTCGGTACCGATGTTTCTTTAAGAAACTTATTCTTCTGGAATCATATTAGTTTCTTCTAGGACATTTACCTCTTCTGGGGTTTCATTTTCTTCTAGAATAGTATTAGTCTCTTCTGGGACAATGTCCTCTTCGGGGGTTGCAGTTCTGATCATGTATGTGGTTTCACTAATAGCATTTTTCTGCTATTTTCATTTTCGTGGGTCCTTATCTTTGGAACCGATTATTCTCCCACTTTCATTGTACAATAGTCACTTTTGGGACTACCTTAAATCGAGCGATGCATAAGATGCTGGTATATGTAACTTTGTCACTCTGCTCGTATATGAGAATGCATCTAGTAATTCATTTGCTCTTCTTTGCAAATCAGACTTCAAAATTACATTGACCACTTCAGGAGTCAAAACTTACAATGATGATGCATTTTATATAATTTCTTGTATTACCAGTCTTTCATTATTCTTGTCTCCCCCTAAGACTGGGAATATTTCATCATAAAATTGACAACCAACTTACTTTGATGTTAATATATCTCCTATCAAAAACTCTAAACATTTAACAATAAACGAGGAGTTATAGCCAATGTCAATACACAGTCTTCTACATTATATTGAATGCATTGTGGGGGAGAGGGCATATAAGGCACACAATCAAACAATCAAATATTGTGAGAAGGGACAAACTTGTTTCTCTTCAGGAGATATCAAGTGTAAGAAACTCAAAAATTTGAAGATTTGACATTTTATTTATGGGGAAGGATTAATAAAAATGAACATATGTATATAAAATACATGTGAAGAAGAACTTCAGGTTCTCATATGTTGGAACTACAGGTTCCTTATAATAAGACCATTGTGTTTTTTTTTAAATGGTTGAGAAAATGTCAAAAATTCACTTCTAACCAAAGCATTTACAATTGACTGATAAAATTCATAATAAGCACTTTATTTGCAATATCTTGGTACAATCTTCTTTGTTGAACTTCAGGTTCACATCTTTTATAGAAGATTATATATAATCTAGTAATAATATAGAATTTATCAACTCCTTCAAAAACCTTCCCTTAGTTTCTACCTACCATTATGGTACCTTAATAATTTATCTTAATTTAAGCCCATTAAGCATCTGCTCCAAATAATTACCACATAAATGAAGATTCAAAATATAGTATAAAATGATTTGTTCTCATAATCAAAAGTATAGCCACTAATTCGATGCACTTTGCATATTAACTAGAGCTGCAGGCTCTTTTGTGACTAATGATGTTCAACATAACCTATCATAAATTTTGGGTTACGAGTTAATTGTCAACAAATATGACAAATATAACGATGCATCATATATAACATTTAAATTGTGATCACGAATAGTTGATGGGCCCGACCAATTATCCTTGAACAATTTCTTAATATGTATGAAATGAATCTCAAGTTTCATTAGTAATAATCTCATAATAATCTTCTAATGAGAACAAGACTATAAGATCTTCTGGTCCTTATAATAACAGAAATTTGTTCTTCAAATAGTACTCACTTGAGTTCTTAATGATTTTTTCTTCACACCACAAACTAAAACGTGATAATTTAATTGGTTATGTTTAGGATAAAAACTAATTCAGTAAACTTCTGGTTTACGTGAAAACAAATCTCGATAAAGTGTCATGTAATATTCATTTCCACTGTTATCTTAAACATTAATAGAGACACCTTAAACAATAAGGATTTAATTGTTTATACCCAATAGAATATTCGTCAATGAAGGACAATAACTATTTTCTCAAAATATTCAATATTTATGAGACCTTTATTACTTCTATTATGCAGCTCTTATTATGCAATGCTCTTCTGGAGCTATCTATCAGTTTTGTATAAAAAGAAAATTAGATCCACACTAACTTCTTTTATCACAAGAGAAAAGAAGCTCTTACATCTAAAAAAAATATAATATGCATAATCACTCCTTTGATTATAATATATTAACTACATCATTCTTCAGGAACATCGATGAGGAATCATATATACATTAGAACAAAGGTCTTGAAATATCAAAACGTCTCTTTTTAATGAGATTTTTTATGTACTAAAATCAGCCACTTCAGGTGGTAATTGAATATTATAAGACCTTAGTTAGTATCTCATATACCCATATATTGTGTTTGATGAACATGTTGACTCTTATTTAATTTAGGAGATTATACATCTTAAGAATTTCTTTTCAGAATTCAATATTCTTCAGGAATATTTAGATTCAAATAGTCAATGTTTAAAAAAAATGTAATTCTATGTGGCTATAATAGTGACTTTGATGTGTCCATATGTATAACCTCAATAGTTGTGATAGTCTATTATATTCATGCATGTCAATCAATTTTTCACTCGCTTCAAGGAATGAATATGTAACATGATTTTTATTTCAAAAAAAAACTTTCCTAACAATTGAAAACAATGTAACCAAATATTGAGTATATGCCTTTTTTTTACACTACCACTTTAGAGGAAATTAGGTTCTCAAACACTATCTTATAATCTCAAACCACATATAACATGCAATTACATATATTGGTCACTCAAATTTTATTGCAACATAGTAATTCACATTAAAATATAATATTATTGCATAAGGAGAGAATGCCTTGAACAATGTATTTTAAAAAAAATCATTAGGCTATTTTACTTCTGGAAAATATTAAATACATAAGAAAAGTTTTATTTCTTTTATTCTCTTCTAGAGAATATGGACATTTAGAATAAATATCCAATTTGATTCACTTTGGGGACAAAATTTAACACTTTTGTAAAATATAATAATAGTGCCAAAAAAAATTATAAAGTGAATGATCCAAAATTTTGTATTTATCAAAAATTAGCTAGGGAATCACATAGCATGAGTTGTATAAACTTGGCAAATATAAAGTATTAAAATGCACATTTTCGTTCCCTCAGCATCAACAACGAAGATAATCCATAATTGCATATTTGAATGCATTTTTTTCCAACATAAAATATGAATGAAGCTACCATTTAACAATGATGCATATCCAAAGTAATAATAGTCGTATTTACAACGATGCATATCCAAAGAATTTAAATGTCATTTGTGCTTATGATATCTTAATTTACATATACACTTAACTCCTCATGTGATAAAACATGATAAAATTTGATACTTCATTTGAAAGTCCTCTTTTATAGGTCATGAACATATAAAACAACAAAACATTTATCACATTTGTGATCAAATAATAATTATGCATCTTTTTCACATGAGCACATATGTCAATTCTTGTGTACAATCACAGCTTTTTAAACGTCCAACAATCTCAAGTCAAGGTACACAATAATTAAAAAAAAACATACTCTAACCATTCTACCAAAATATATGGTCAACATTATTTATGCTTAGAGAGTATTAATTTTAAGCTATTAGGTTTTTTTTTGTGTTGAACGCAACAATGAGAAAAGCATGAGTTTTGAAGGCATAACATTCATATTTCTAAATGCAAATCAAAGTTTTTGTTTTCTTCGGAAAAACACAAGGTCTGTAATTTTTTTTCAAAATGCAAAATTTGACAATAGATTATCATAATATGATTATCACATGCATTCACATATATAGTCACATAAACTAGAATACTCAATTTGGATATGCAATCTCAAAAATTTAATTTTGTAAAAAGGTAAAAGTACCTAGACCATGTGAGGATTATAAAAGCAGAGCCCTGAGTTATTAATTCAGATATGCATCACCGGCTAAGAAATCACCAACGCTTGGACAGATACCCAAATATTTTTCTGGAGATTAAATTGAGAATCATGAAGCTCATAGCACGCAAGGTTAGGGCTAGGCAACAACGGCCGCCGCTTCTCCTTAGCACTCAATTGCCTCCTTGATTAAATCACCGAAGGTGTTTTCCGGCGAGAGCACCACTCTGATCGGCCCTAGACCGTTCTGAACATTTACAATCAGCAACAACTTAGTGAGCTTATGCAGGCCCCAAATTCCGCCGCGGCTCGCCGCCGGAGCATCCACGATTTCCCCGCGGACGGCAAGGCCACAGGCTGTCAACAGGAACGTCATCGTCGCCGACACGGCGGTCTGCTACGGTTTGATGGATGAGGCCATTTGAGGTCGCAATTGGAGCGATTTGCGCATTTTTAGGAAAAGTGGATTGAATGGATCTCGGGGCGAGTTCCTATTGGTACGGCTGCAAGGGCGAGAAGGTTCCGGGAAATTAATTTTCCCCTTCTTCTAGATCGATCTCCAAGGGCAGGCCGTTTGGTTTGATGAAACAACAGCAAATTCCCAAATGCTTTGGCGGAGGATTGGTCTCCGGCAGAAGGAAAGGGAGGAGCGGCCAAAAAAATTAGGGTTTAGAGACTCGTGCTGATAACGTATTGTAAACTGAGTACTTTATTCATCATATGTCGGGGTATGGAGGAGGTAAAGTCTAGGTAAACAAGGTAACCAGATATTCTAAATAATAAGAGTAATATATCTGCCATATTTAACAACTAGAATATATGAGTTCTAAAAAATGAATTATTTTTCTAATCATTTTATTTGTGTATTTTCAAGCTACAATTTTCATGTCGAGTTTCTTTGAGAATGGACTATAAAGTTTATTTGTGTATTTACATTCTTCACTATTTAAATTCATTGGAACTTTTATTTATTTGTGTATTTTCATTCATAATTGTTAAATAAAATAAAATATTTTTACCAGTTTTTGTTTTATACTCGGGTAGAATTTTTGATGTACTTTTTAAATATGTAAGTTTTTTTTATATTTTTATGCTAATCTTTAAATAAAATGAATAGAAAAATTTTATGGTTTTAGTTTGTTTTGCAGAAAGTCTAATTCATTTAGGAACGGAGAGAGTATTACACAAATGAACATACACAAATTCTGAGATTTTTTTTACATGCATAAATATTGAGTTATAAAGTTACAAGTAAGTTAAATTAAAACAAAACTTTGGGCCAGGTAAAATTAGGGTCCGAAAGCAGAAGAGAAACAGCTCAGTAAAACAATGAATGAACTTTGGATTAATTGTGTAAAAAACTATGTACAAAAGGTTAATCAGAGCTAGATGTTGTACTCACAAACAATACATCATCTCTCCCCTTTCTCTTCTGCAAAACAGTTTCAGCAACCAGCAAGCAGGCTCTCTCTTCTCATTCAGTGATTATATATAATCCCAGAAAGAAAAATTCATGACCGGCTCGATTATCAGAGCAAAACTAACTAACTAAATACCCCCAAAATGAGAGGAAAAGAAAAGCATTAACGTACGAGTGAGGTGCTTCAGAAGTATAGTCGTTGCGGGTAAGACGTTAGAATGTATAGCTTACGGTCAAAGTAACCTGCGAGGAAACAAGAGGATATAGTTGCAGTAAGAATCCAGAAACGAATGAAAGAAAGAATGATAAATCAGAAACAATGTTACGCTCAAGCATTTGACATTAAGTCACATTATAGAATATGTTTTATATTTTGCAAGTTTAATCCCTTAACTGTTATAATCAAGATATATTTGGTCCCGCCTGTATAAATCACTGCATAGTATTCCGTAGCATGCTTTATAGCTGCATTTTCGACAACATAGAATGTACCCCATTTATGAGTGTAAATAGTGATTTATACGAAGGGACTAGTACCTAATTTCTAAAACAATTACGGGACTAAATTTGAAAGAATTGAAAGATGGGGGGCAACGTTAAAAAATGTCACACAACTGAGGGAGCGGGACTAAATGTGTGTGCCATTTTCCCAAAACTTGGAAAGTAAATTAAATGAAACTTGCTTTATTTCAGAGCTCACCAGTGGGTTTGTCATAAGGAGTTCCAAAAATGATTTCGAGCAGACAACTTGGGACGATCAACATTCTTGGGCAATCTGTAGACATATATTACATTCCATGGCCTCCTCATTTAACATAGGCCAGAGAATAGTCAAATACGGATCTCCAGATAATCCAGTAGACTACTTTTGAGGAAAAGAACACCCAATTCTTGTCTGCAGATCCCCTATGCAGAATCAGAACAATAATTATTTTAGTATGGTCTTGGTCTTGGTCTTGGTCTTGCAGAACGACATTTGCGAGGAAATGAGAAAGGGCTGCCAGGTCCTCCTGTGCTCGTCTTATTGGATTTATCATCATTCAGTGGAGCTGTACCAAAGAGGATATATGAGTTTATTTCATTTCAATTCAAAGACAACTTCAAGTTTATTTATCTTTATTGTGTGCCCCATACAATTCCTTTCTATGAAACAAAAGATCCAAAAAAAAAAAGAATTAGACTACTCCCTCTATCCCATAAAAATTTTCCCACTTTGACTTCACGTAGATCAAGAAAAGTGTTGAAAAGTGAAGTGTATGGTCAGAATTTGTTTAAAACAGAAAAATATTGCAAGACACATACTCTTTTGCAAAAAGGGAAATTAAAAAAGGGGAGATTCTTTTGGGACAGATGAAAAGGGAAGTGTTTGATCACGAGAACAATGAATTTTATTACTATTCTAAAAGTTCATGCATGGTACTCTGACCAGTTAGCAATAGTCCTACAAAAAACATTCAACAACCCATAGCAATGTATATATTCAGAGGCAACGGTATGCGAAAGTATACTTATGTCCCCGCTCTGCAAATATAGCAGTGTCAGCCAATGAACATGATGCATGAATTTTTAGAATTTAATTGCAGTTTGCTGACCTGAATTCAACCCATTCACAGCTATGTGATTAGCAGTAGCCTCATCACCTCTACTCCCAAGTGCAAGTGAAAACCAATCCTCAGTTTGGGCACCATTTGTAACATCCCTCTCATTAGGGTCTACTATGGATGATGCATCTGATGGTCTAGTTGGAAGAAATATCTGAAGAGAAGGATCGGCAGCACCAAATGACAAGGGATCACTTATATTAGCATTAGAATGATCAATAGAAGATTCAGTCGCAACACCAATTGATCCCAGATCTGAGGAGAGCCCGTAGCCATTATTGGGGTTATGCTGCACAGCGGCATCATCCGCATTCGAACAAAACAATTGAAAGCCCAGATCTACCCCCTGGATATTGTTAGGTGAAGAGCATGTATCCCACCCTACATCATTGTTTCTAGAAGCAGCAGTATTATTAAATATACCAATCCCTGAACTACGAATAGTAGGGTCATCATCATTAGAATCTGGAATCCCACGCTGTTGAATTGAAAGACTGCCGTCTTCATTTCCAGGAATAATTAACAGTTCATTTTCTTCATCTGAGTCACTCAAGATGATAAATTCAGCATTTCCCAGAGGTACAGATTCACACTCAACCCCGTTGTTGATAGAAGACTCAAGGTTCCGAACGACAGCCTGATTTACACTGGCATCTTCTCCTTTGCCACTTCCAGTGTCACTACTGCTCATCTGAATGATGTCCACCGGCTTACTGATTTGCCAAACTCCATTTGGATTTTTCTTCAGCCCAACTTTGAGGCTTCCATGGTCATTAGAACTTCCTTCTTGTTTAACCTGAGGCTTAAGAACCTCGGACTTTGTCTTATTAGATTCTGCATTTGATGATATGCAGAGATTCCCATTAGGTAAGTGCCACTGCGCAAGATCACCCAAGCTACTTTGATCACCTTCCACCTTAGCCCGCCAAGAACCATCTCGTTTGACTTCTATCTCTGTTACGGTTTCTCCACAATTCCTCAGCTGTGCCCCATGGACCAGCAGAAATAGAAACAAAAAGTTAATTATAAAGTGAAATATTGGAACCAGACAAAAAGATCCGAGGAGATATACCTTAGAAGTAATTTGATTGAGATAGGGATCAACAATTATATGCTCCAGAGAGTAATTTTTGAGACAAATGGGGCATTGCCACTGAAGCACGCGTACAACATTCACAATAACATGAGTTCATTAGACAATGAAATGAACCTCTGAGAGGCAACTGACTTATAATAGTGTAACTCTCCAGCTCACACAATTCTTATGAATAGCGAACTTGCCTTTCTAGACCTTAGATTCATTTCAACAAATACTTCAAGATCAAAACAGCCCTTGTGAACACAGGGCTTAAATCTTCCAGCAAGTTTGATCCTTGAACCACTCATCTGAGGTAATGGATGCCAAAATTAGTACTCCACTAAACAAAAAGAGATTATTCAGTTAAAACAACTATGATGTGATTAGGGACGAAGGGATGAAATCGAGCAATAAGGAATGCAACTTTCACTGCAATATGTTAAACAGATAAACAAGAATATTAACAACTTGATTTTATTTATGCAAATCAATACCACATATGGTATATAGTGCAAAATATGATTTCATTTTTCCAATAGATGGACTCTAGTGGTTAGTGGGATTCTTGTATTAAACCCATAATGTCTTTCTCTAGTACCCCCTTCATCCCAATTTATTTTGCCTAATTGACATTTCTTTTTCAAAATTCACTAACTTTGACCAAATTTTGCGGATAAAGTGTTCTCATATTTAGTTATAATGTGAATTTAATATCATTAGACTCGTTTTGAAATGCAGTTTTGAAATGCAGTTTTGAAACATCATATTTTATTGATGTACAAATATAGCAATTAACATTCAAAGTATTGCTTTGGAAACTATAAAAAGTTAAATGGAACAACAATTTGGGACGGATGGAGTAATATTTACTTACAGGGCACCGAAGATTCACAGGAATGAAGTCAGCAACAATTTCAATATCACTGTCACTGTCAGCATTCTCTGCAACATCCCCACCACCAACACGACAAACCCTAGCCAGTGCATCTTCAAATCTCTCACCATCAGACTCCTTGGGAATACTATTAAGTATCTAAAGGATAGATCAACACTGAATCAGATGGGAACTGTGGAATCCAACATTGAAACTTCCAAGTTTCAAATTAGATGCAAATAAGAAACTTTTTAACATGTACAATACAGCGGCTAAACATATCAATATATGCAGAAAAACGTTCAGTATGATAGATATAACATTGAAGTCAGCATATGCATAACATGTAACAGCAGAAAGGCTTACTTCATTAAGATAGCCCAGTGCAAGCTCCACTTAAGCTTCTTAAACATAATTAAATGGGCAATAGGGACTCCTTCAACAATAAACAAAATACCTGTTGCACAGTACGCTTCTTTACAATTCTGACACCAAAACAAAACACACGAGCATCCATGCCCGCCAAGGAGACTTTGTTGACACCATCCCCAGTCAATGGTGTTATCTATAGAAGAGAAACAAAATCAAAAGCAATCAAATGAATGTTGGAACATACAGAAGTGTTAAAATGAGAAATTGCACGACGATAGAGGAGCCCAAAGAACAGATTAACTAAAAAAAGTAAATATACAACAACACTTACAATGGTTCATTATCAAGTATTCCAGTAAAGAGCACATAAATGCATGTAGGTAATGAAAAACACGAGATGTTCTCAGGATTTCACAACAAAAAATGGTGCAAGGATTAAAATGTACAATGTCAACACTCACAATAGGTCCATCATCTCGGCCATTAGCCCCTAAAGATTGTGAGCCAGGTCTGTTTACCACACGTACAGGGGATCCTGGAGGTGAAGCAAAAGACAATTTATTAAATATTGAGATCTCAAGGAAGGTTAAAGGTATTTAATAGCAACCACTTATGAAGGGAATACAAAATGATGTAAAAACATGTATTTGGTAAAATAATGAATTTGGATATTGGACCAAGTTTGATCAAATATAAGAGTACAGAAGACAAGTGGGTTGTCAATTTGGATAAAATAGTAAATTCAGACCAAGTATGAACAAATGTTGAAGTACAAAGAAGTAGCTTGGCATATGCTAGTCATCTGTGTTGGGGAAATAATAACTGTTAAGTTTGCTGCTGTTACAATAAAAGGTTATGGTGATGCATCATGTGTCTGCACGTTTCAGTAAGTTGGAAAAGTTTAGCAATGTCATTAAAGGAAATAGTTTGAAACCCCTTATAGGATGAATCTATGCCAGAGCATACCATTGAACTGCAGAGCACTATGCAGAGGCCATTGCATCCTAAATTGCACCTTGTCATTGAGAAGAATGCACCAAGCCTGAAAGTGACCACATTTCGTAACACATAAAAAAGCATCAGTGTAAAAATATCATTCAGAATTGTAGGCAAACCTGAATAGCATACTCCTGTTTTCTCAATAAGTCATTCTCTGCTTTTGTAAGTTGAAATGTTTTCTCTATACTCTGCACAGGGTTTGTGCTGAAATTCACAGGTGTAACATGAAAGTATAAATGGATCGTACAACATTTAAAAACTGATATACACATGCAAAAGACTAGACAATATTAAGCATTATTATTACATGGTTTAAAGAAGGAATACTATCTTTATGATGATATATGGAAGCAATGACACCATAGAAGCTATTGAAGGGACAGAACCAAAAATCAAGAGATGACGGTATCAGTGTATCACACTGCAAGTATAATGGTTGATGACAGCAATATCCTTAGACTTCTTTTGACAACTAACCTATCCTCTCCTTGAAACCCCGTGGGAAGAGATTTGTCCGAAACAGATATTGTTGTATAAGTCTCTGCCCAGCCTGATTAATCACAATCTAGGGCCTCTAGGCACTCCTTGGGCACCTGGGTTGTTTCCTGCTAATATCCCGACTAACCCCATTTAGATACAGGTAATCCAGCCTGGCCCTGATTAATCCATGACAAGAGGCTAGCCCCAATCTACTGCTTAATGGAAATCTAGATTTTTTAAAAACATTCAAAACAAGATTGGAGTATTTAATTACACAAAACAAGAATAAAACCCATTGATCTAGTTAACTGGAAAGCAATATTTTCTATTGCAGTAAATGTAGAATTGGTTATAGATTATTTACCCTTAATAGTTTCAGGGCTCCTACTCTTTTGGTAGATCTTCTAAGTGCATAAGCTCAAGTCACAATAGACTGAATAGAGCTTCCCAACCACCAACTAGGTGTCATTTAAGTTAACTGGTAAAGTTAAAGTGACATTCATGTTGAGGAACCAAGATGCTAGAAGGGCACCAATCAAGTTCATATGAATTTAACTTCAAAACAAGTGTCAAATAAAGTTCAAGTGTTCAGATTCAAGTGTCAACTGTCAACCCCTAAATATAGATATTCTAAAGTCGACAAGATGGAGTGGCTTAGTTGGCACACACTTGAGACTCTCTGCTTGTTGGAGATCTTGAGTTCAAGTCACCCTAGGAGGGGAGACAATGATTTTTTTTTATTTGATGAACCGCTAACCTCGCGTACAAGCTCCTTGGTTGGTTCAATTGTGGACGTCTTGCTTCTACTTGCAGTGTGAGCGACTGGACCTACTAGTAATCTGAAGCGCCTATGAATTTGATGTCGAGTAATCAACAAACTAGCAAAATCAATCTAAAACAAGTTTGGGTATTCTGGAAAATGGGGTAGGACAGGTTAGGGGAATGGAATCTAAAAAAACAGGTATTGGACAGGTCATATTAAACAGGTTTGGAAAGGAAATGAATAAATGATAAACGGGTATGGTGCCCTACTCATTGTCATCCCTAGCAGTAGCTAATCTTCTAATCAAACAGAAAAACGGTGCATAAAGGAATGTGTACACCGAAAAAGATAAAAAAAAATACATCAGTCGGGATGTGATTATTATTATTATTATCATTATTATTATTATTATTATTATTATTATAACAGAAGGTTGACGATGGATTTTGGATATTTACCCATCCAATGGAATGTCTGTAATAGTTAGCTTCACTGGAAGTAAGGGATGTGCCACTGATTCCCAGAAGCTGCAAAAAGAATATATGTTGAGAAATAAAAATGTAATTAAATTCAAGCATATCGAACAGTAACACACATTAAGCTGTAGGCTGAAGTATTTGGAATAGGTTGTGAATTTTCGAACTGATTCTTCAGGCACAAAATATTATAGCCACACATGTAAATCCAGCCTCAAAACCCTACACCTCTGATGAAAGGCTTATTTGAAACTTTTGCTTCTTACTGCAATTGGATGATCTAAAGAGTAAAGAGTAGAGAACATAATGTGATTAATGTCGCTTACGGGTCAGCACGACTCAGTCTGCATAGTTCACAATAGAAAGTTCTGTGTGGTATTTGTGGAATGCCACTCTCAACAACTTTCTCTGGAATGGTAACACATCTAACATGTTGCAACACATGGCATTTGGGATCTTCACACTACAGATGAAGGTAGAGCAACTAAATAACAGAGCTAACTTCAAACATATTGGGTGCATGAAAATGTAATGGGATCTAGTACCTTAACCATTGATTCCATCTGTAAGGTGCTTCCACAAGGACATTGGATCTTATCCATCTTGTAAGAGTCTTGTATTTCATCCTTCAACTTTATATTGCTACTATTTGAAAATCCTTGGGATTTTGATGCCAAATCAGGTGCTCCAGAGACCTGCATTTTTCTGGAAACAGGTAGAGAAAACTTTTCAATTGCATACATACATATAAGCAAAAACGTAAAGAACCACACTGATTCAAAGCATGCACCACATGCACGCATTTATGAGTTCATACTACACAAATGCTTCAGTCAATCGAATTCTAGTTATACTTTACAGGAAAATAACTCTTCAATGTTACAGAGTAACCAATTTCAGTTAAATCTATTTTGATCGATGTCAATCGATTTAAGTAGGTTTATGTTGGTCTCAATCAGTTTCGGCATGTCTCACATGCTCGGCCTTTACCTTTATCTCTTTTTCTTTAATTTTTTTCCACCTTTGATGTTCTTTAGTCTAAAAGTAGAAATCAACAACAAAAATATACCTGTAAATGTCATCAATGATTTTTGCAACCTCTTCCTTGCCAACATCGTTCTTCTTCGCACACATTCCTGACACTTACTCCGGACAATTATGTTAGCGAAAAATAGATAATCAAATTAATTTACCATTGCCATATAAGTTTGCATGTAGAAATACACAAAAGGATGTATTTTCCTTGACAACTTACCACGGTCGTCATAGAAGCAGGCCAATATTCGATCAACAAGATCCTACAAGACAAAAGGAGGTTGACATGAAGTATTAATAAACATGTGTCGCCTAAGTGGTGATGATGCAGATAGGTGAAGCACCTAAGTTTTCAGCCTAACAATTAGTGCACCATGAACCCCAATTTCTCTATTGAAAAGTGGATCCTATTCATGCAACCTAGCATTAGTATCAAATTCACAAAAGTTCACCACATAAAATGTAGTTGGTGAAGGCAGTGTCATGCAGTTTAAACACCAAAAAGTTTACATTGAAAGTAAAGGAGTGTCCTACAAAAAGGGATACAATTGGAATTCATCATTGAAAGGTAAACAGGTATTATATAATTATGAAAGTAGGAGAATTAATGAGTGTATTTCATATGTCTTGAATGCATGATACAGCAGTTTAAGACTATATAAAGAAACATTCTTCCAATGTCATGATCCTATTGTCAGGTCGTAGTTGGTTTTACTATTTCCGTTACAGCAATTCTAACTTTACAACGTAAGTAGCTATTATCTAACAACAAAATTTACTAAGTTAATTGTAATCTATCAGTCCCCTAAAGTTGGAGCATATATATTTATCATGTCTAATTCATAGTTATAATGGCATTAAGGGAAGGCGTGGCACCAGTGTACCAAAAGTGGACTATGCAATAAGTCATAAATTAGAATTATACTCCCTCCGGTCTAAAAAACATGGGAGTTATTGATTTTTAAGAGATTTAAGGGAAGTGTATTTTGGTATTGAATTTCCAAAAAAGTCCTTTGATGTGATGGTAAAACTGTAAAAGTAAGATTTGATGGGTAGATTATTAGTAAAAAGATATGATGTAATAGGTAGGGTATGAAAAAGTAAGGGGTAAGAGAGTGACTTTTTAATAGAAATAAGAAGTGTTTTTTGGGACGGATACATACAATGTAATATATTGTATTTGGAGTAATTCATAAACTCCAAACTTCAAAAACATATTAAAGAGATTTATCAAAAAAACAGATTACATAATGTCTTATTTAAAAAGATTTGCTTTCAGAAAAATTAAAATAAAACAAAATAAAAGTTCTTATCAAACAAAAGAAATATATCTTTTTTTGTTGGGGGGGGGGGGGGTCGGTTCTTTCTGCTGTGTTTTCTTTGCATGTGCTTCGTGGTGTTTGAGTTGGAGATCTCTTGAAAACAACCTCTTTACTTCCAAGTAGGGGTAAGGTCTGCATACACACACCACCTAAGACCCTATTCTTGTGGTGTTTTACTGGGTTTGTTCTTATTGGGTTGGGAGAGAACGGGGTTTATAGAGTATTCATGTGCTTCGTGGTGTTTGAGTTGGAGATCTCTTGAAAACAACCTCTCCACTTCCAAGTAGGGGTAAGGTCTGCATACACACACCACCTAAGACCCTACTCTTGTGGGGTTTTACTGGGTTTGTTCTTATTGGGTTGGGAGAGAAGGGGGTTTATAGAGTATAGATGAAAGAATTTGAGAACTGAGAGATATGTGAATAATGCAATAATCTTTGAAAGGAAAATGTGGGCGAAAATAAAAATCCTTAATATTCAATCCTAAAAATGAAAGGAAAAAAAAGGGATAAAACCATAGGTTTCCCTGAGCAGCTGAGCTAGCTTCGGTGAGGATGATTGATTGAGTTCCTATGCTTGTTGTCTCTGTTGCTTCAAGCCTGGGTCGTCCTTGAACAATGCAAGAGAAGACTTGCTGACTTGACGATGAAAACTAGGGTTAGTCACTCCTCCCTGGTCTATCTTTGATAATAGTTTATTCGAGTATCAGATATGGAGTCAACATTTTTAATTTAATGAAATTGACCACACACAAAAGGTTGGCTTGGGTCAAATGCCATTGGCTTGAGGGAAGGACGCCTGGATGCCAAGTCATCGACTCATTGACGCCGAACAATGCCAAGGGAAGATCTGATGAGGCAAATGAAGATGGCGACCAAGAGGACTCGACTTGACTGTTGACACCAAGTTGATGCCTAGGCAACAGTGTGATAGCTATGACAGGAACATAGAGGGGATTCAGGATTTCATGCAAGGCTGATGATGCTTGTTGGTAGGGATTCCAGCCGACGATTAATTCGCACAGGCCAGCGCATGAGGGGAATGTATCTGGTTTGGTGGCAGATGAGGCCCACGCAAAGCTCTTCTAGGTAGCGAACTCAAGTAAATTACTCAAATCAGGAGGATGCACAACCTGCGACAGCAGATTTGGAGTTGGATATTGGATTGTGAAGGATTTTGATAGAAACCCAAGGCTTTGGGCATATTTTCTACACAAAGGTTTGAATTCTTTTTTTTGAGACTTTCGAATTTTCTGGTTAAAACATGAAGGATGACATAGTCCTATACTATGTAAGATTAACGAAGTAGGAGAGTTGTAAGATTAAAAAAGTCGGAGAATTGTAAGATTAAGAAAGTAGGAGAATTGTAAGAGTAAGAAAGTAGGAGAATCAAGGAGCATATTTCATATATCTTGAATGAATGATACAACACTATACAAAGAAAGATTATCCTAGCCATGGTGATAGTCCTATATCCAGGTATTAGTCTTAGTCTTGGTCTTGTTAATCCATTTACAACCATTCTAATTTTATAACATAAGTAGGTACTAGCTAGTATCTAGCAGAATTATTTACTACCTTCACTTAGCTGTAATTTAACTATTTAACAATCATCAACAATGGGTTTTAAGTACAAGATTGCTACTACAGATCACTGAGAAGAGATCAAGAGAGATGATTTATTTCATCGGTAGAATGCGATGGACACCCCTCTGTCCAAGAAAATAATAGAAAAGAAAACATCTGATATACTGTTGTTCTAAAATGGGAAAAGTTGATAGGCAATTTATATGACAATGCTAGAGAGATATAGACAACCATACCTGCTTCTTTCCTTGCTTTGGCAGAGCAAGTTTAGTGAGAACATCCTTGAGTTCCTTTACCCGAAACTTGGCCACCTTGTCCTATAAAAGATAAATGACACCAAAAACTTGCAATTATCAAGGTTAGAACCACAATTGAAAAAATAATAACAATTGATGAAAACCCATCACACCATGCCATGGATATAAATTAACTCATACTGCACCACACCACATCCGGGCTCTGTGTTTGACTTCACAATAAAAAATGCTCACACTCAAATATTGCACAGAAAATAATAAGAAGAACGATGAAAAGGAAAACGCATTGTAAAAAGGGTGGTGAAACTCCATGTTGAACATAGAAAGAAACATCATATCTTCTGTCTTTAAAAAAATACAAGCCTAACCACCGTTCACAACTAAGTAAAACAAAGTTGTTTAAGTAACAATTCTTCCACCGGAAGCAGGCACGGGATAATGAAGGACACATCCACAGTAATTGGTAAATCTAGTTGCATATAAATTAAAATTAGAGAAAATGAACCATGATCTGCCATTAATTCTAAACAACAAAAAATTGTGATTTCATGGCAACTAACATTTATAATAACGTCATTATTACTTCAGCACTCTGATCAATCACTCACGACCCCATACTAAATTCTGCACCATTCTACTAACATGGAAATTATACTATCTACCATATAATGAAATAAATTTGTTTCCATTGACATATGAAGCATTAACACTATTTGATACGATGGATGGGATGGGATGTGATGCGTATGATGGAGGGAGGGAGAGGGACTCTAGTATACGTCATTTGGAATTACCAAAATACTTTAGGAAAGGGAGGCTATGGGGGAAGCTTCCCCTTAAATATTAATTTAAAAAATTCCTCCGCTCCTTCACTTGTTTTCTTCCCACAAATCCCCTCCCCCATCCGCAATCCGCATCACTCAAGCCAAACAGAGGGTAAGAAGAAGCTTTATACTACGTGTAACAGCCTAATTTTCAATTGGCCTGTAACACTAAAATTGTTTTTGTTTACATTGGCTTTAAGCACCATGATCTGCAGCACACAACCGAGAGTTCAAATCACAAACATCGAACATAACTAAAATCCACGCCACACACAATTAACAAGAAATACAGCGACACGTCGACAACAACTCGAATAATACTAGGTGCTAACTGCTAAGCCATAGCTGATTACCTTGATGCTACCAAGGGAATCCATAACACCTCCCAAGACGGCAACTGAATGGTGGTCTGCACTTCTAAGCAAACACACAATAAACCAAACAGCTAGTAATAATTGAATTCCTTAACAAACAATAATGTGTCCAATCAAATGTCGAATTCAATCAAGGAACGAAACAGAATTGGCGTCAAATTCCCATTGAATGATGACGGAGACACGTACAGTGAGCGGGAAACAGACGGAGATGTTGACTGGAATCGCAATCTGTGAGATTGAGGATGTTTCTCAGTCTCTGCCTCTGCTGTATTAAGGAAGCACCGTGGTTTCCCCTAATCCCGTTTGTCTGGTGCTATTTCAAAACCGGAGTTTGGATTGTCTGCTCTAATTTGTCCGGGTTTCGCGCTATTTTCCAGTCCCGTTGCTCCAACACCATCCGGCGCTCGACGGCGGCCGCAGGAAGCACACGAAATTTTTAGCGATATAACTTCCGGTCTTTTGCACTTGGATCCTATGTTCGATTAGAGATTAGAGATGTAGGCCATAGTCTATTAATCTCTCCACTTAAAGCTTTTAGGTTCATTTTCCTTAATTATTTACAATTACAAAACACGGTCTTAATTTTTTTTTAATTTCATAAAACACTTATGCTTTATTTAAACACTCTCAAAACAATTTTTACCCACAACAAACTACGAGATGGAAGTATATTTTAGACATTTTTAATGGGGTAAAACAGATTTGAGGAATGCACAAAAAATTAAGGCAAAAGTATTTTGTGAAACAGAGGGAGTATAAAAGTGTGTTTTTTATCCTTTTTAACTTGAAAAATGATAGGCAAATAACTTAAAAATACTTTATCCTCTATTTTGTGAAACAGAGAGACCTCATTTGTCCCACACCTCCTCCTCCACCACATAAATATGCAAATACTTTAAAAAATTAAATAAATAAAAATTAAATATGAATGAGTGGTGGAGAAGGGGGTGGGGGACAAATGGTGTACCCCTAGCATTGCTCTTTTAACTTCTCACTCACTTGAGTGGTAGGAAATTCACCTCCAATAATTTGTGAGAAAATTTACCCAATTTCGAGCCCTAACGGAGATAGAGACATTGAGGGGGTGTTTGTTTTTTGGCCAGAAGAGCTTCTGGTCTCTTTTGTCTGCGCCGCGCAGATGCTGAGCTCTGCAGATTGTTTATTTTTTGGAAGACATTTCCCTCAAAAAGGTCTTCCTGGCATCTTCTTGAAGAAGACATTAACTTATGTTTTCTAACATCTTCTAACATCTTCTCCATTTTTTCTTCTACTTCTCTTCACCACCACCACCGTCCACCACCACCCTTCACCACTACCACAATCGTTCATACACCACCACCGTACACTACCACCATTAATTTATATAGTAGTTTACAGACATTAAAAAACAAACAGTCTTCTTCTTGCAGACCGCAGACCTTCAGTCCATTACTTCTCCTGCAGATGTCTACAGTAGTGGTCCGCAGACTGCAGACCTTTTCCTGCAGAAAAAACAAACACCCGCTGACTCATTAGGTTGGAAAAAATATAGATAGATAATACATTCTAATAAAATCCATGACATTCAAAAAAAAGAGGGGATCCTTAATAAAATAAGTCTATTATTAGTCTCAATTGCCTTTTTTAAGTGCATTAAGGCCATTAACCCCTATAGTGCAATAATGGGTTGATGTTTTAAAAATATTTGACATGTTAATTGTGTAGAATACCTTCCTCGTACGTTAATATTTAAATCAACTTATTTTATACTAGTATAATTCTTCTGTCTTATAAATTTTTTCAAAGATGAAAAAAACATGTCCTAAAATAAATATTATTTTTTATATTATTTCCTAATTGGAAAATTCTATGGTGGATCTAATGACCATCATGGACTTATATATGAGCAAAATAATTATTTTTTTACTACTTAAATAAGCATCTATTTTAAATTAAACAATAGAAAAAAATCATATGAGAAGGTCCATAAAAATAGTCACCTAAGGTGTACCATAGAAGCACTCTTTCTAATTAGGAATTATCTATCATGCGCATCATATCCTACCTTATTATAATGTTAAGACAAAATTAGAAAGGGAAAAATTTACAACAATACTTTGAAAAATCTCTGAATTTACAAAATTACTCCGAAAATCAATTAATAATATCATTATTTCACAAACGCTCTCTTTACTCCACCCTCCACCTCACTTGCACAATCATATTGTGTAATATTTTACATGGATTTTTAAAGTATTGACTTGAAAAATTAATCATTTTTTAGTTTTCATACAAAAAAATTAAATTACTTATGCCTCCAACTCAAATAATATCTATCTCAAATTTTAATGATTTGTTCTTTTGAGTTGAAAAAGTTAATTTCTATTTTCTTCTAACATCTAACATTAAAATTCTAAAAAAAGAAAAGGTTCTAACTGTTAAAGATGTGATTAATATTTGAGTTAGAAGAGAAATAAGTAATTTAATTTTTTTATGAAAACTAATAAAAGTGATTTATTTTCTAAGTCATCACTTTAAAAATTTACTCCGGGTAGTTAGATGCAACAACCTCGTCTCAAGTATCTCCAGTGATTGAATCTGGGGAGTGACTCGCTAATAACTTGTTGGTAGCAAAACCAAGGATACAATATAAAAAAATCTCCCAACAAGAAAAAAGTACAATCCCCACGGGTTGTGTCGTGATCAAACGCCCTTGGAGTTTGTTTTCTTCTGAATGCGTGATGAGGAAGTCACAACACAATCTTAAGAAGTCCTTACGGGCTCAAGACAAAGAGCAATGAGTAGAAATAGAAGTATCATGTGTGATTTGATCATCTAGCCGAGCTCTACCATGAAGACAAAGTTAAGGTACGACATGACTCGGTATCCTATTCGTGTTAGCTGAGCGAGCAAATACCTATCGGGTGGCTCAAAATGTGACCTTGAGTACCCTCATTATAAGCGAGTGAAAAGAATTTGGAACTTGATCTCGTGTTGCTAAGGAGAAAACTAGCCAAAGGAGGCTTAGGAGCAAGCCCTTCGTTGGATATGAAGTATAACTAATTCAATGGCGAACTTACTATGTGATAAAAACAATGGCAGATCTAGCCATCTAGGAAATGAGAGGACGTGAGGCAAAAATAGGGTGGGGTCTGGGGGTAGTGCCCCTGGAATTTTTTTATCGAAAGACATTATTAAACCAGAAAAATTTTGTGAAGTTTCATTTTAATAGTATGAATCAGTACATATAATGTATAACTAAGTAAATAAATAATTTTAAATATAGAAATTATATACAAATAAATTACTAAAACTAATTTTTATTTAAAATTTAAAATATTGTAGTCTTTTTTTTAAATAAATGCAGAATGAGAAAAGTTAAAAGGGGCATTTTGGTGTTTAACAGGGGCATACAAATATTTTTTGTGGAAGTATTAGCACTACTTTTTAAAAAATTGGAATAATAACACAACTCATTAATTTTTTTAAAAAAACAAGTGGCCACAGTCCTATTATTATAGATCCGCTTCTCGGTAAAAAGTTGTACCAATGAAAAGCCAATCAAACTTAATAGAAAAATGATGGGGTAGACCAAAGGTGTACGAATCCCATATGTCCCCTACTCCCTCTTTGTCCACATAAATGGGCAAGAAATTCAAAAATAAATAAATAAATAAAAATCAAATAAAAATGAGTGGTGGAGAAGGAGTGGTGTACATTTGGGGTACAACTTTGGTGTACCCCTATCATTGCTCAACTTAATAAACAATACATCAAACTAGCTTTAAGTTTAATGTTGGATTTTTATTTAATTTTGATACTCTCACTCCCTTCAAATTAAATTATCATTCTACTTTTATTTTTTGCATCCATCCAAAAATATGTTTGCTTAGAGCAACTCCAATGCCTAGGGTAAATTATGATAGTGTAAAATCTATTTTACACTATAAATAGTGTTTTACACATCTATTTTTTTATACTCATTCCATCCATATCTTCTATAATATACACTTTTATAATTTTTTGTATTTAAAGTTGTTCATTTATAATACGGAGTAATTATTTTTAATTCATCCTTTAGTAATATTGTGATTAAATTGAAGCACTTCATCTAAGAAAGGGCAGCAACATTGGAAAATGGAAAAAAGATGCAAATTGGTATGAAGATTTGGATACTGAGTTGGTATTGAGAGCGGTGATTTTGAAACAGAGCACATATTTTGGAATTCACGAACCACAGCAGAGCAAATTGAGAAGGGTGGATGGAAAACAAATGAAAATGAAAGGGAGAGAGTGAAAAGTAGATCCAATAGGTGAGGGAAAATATTTTTTTATTATTTGCACTATATACATCATAGTGTAGAAATAGGAGCTCGAGAGTGCTTTTTGCACTATAGTGCTTTTTAGCATTGGGTTTACACACTCCATTGGAGTAGGATAAAATGATTTCATCTTGGATAAAGGGTATATTTAACAATATACCCTATGCATTGGAGTTGCTCTTAGATCTACACAATTTTAAAATTTTCTTTTCAATAGTGCAAATAAGTTTAAGCCCAAACTCTAACCCTGAACTCGCATAAACTGAATAATTGAGTTAGCGAACCGGACTACTACTATATTGGTATACACATACTCACATATTTAAAATACTTTAAACCAAACGATCATAATAATTTAAAGAATAAAATCAATCGAAGTAATCAAACCCAAGAAATGATGCGAAAGCCTTTGAAGATAACGTATATACTCTTGGAATTTAGACAAATACGTTCAGCAAATAAATTTAATATAATAAATCGAGGCCATCCACCATGTGCCGCATAAGTGTCCACCAGGCTGCTCATCCAATCCCTAGTTATTCCTACCCGTGTGTAGCCAAAAATAACAAAGACAACATATTTAGCGAAAAGCTGAGTGATAACATATCTAACGTCAGAAGTAATTTACGGAATAAGTTCACATCCACATACAATTAAACAATATCATTGTGAGTCAGACACATCATCATATAGCATATTTATCCATGGCTCTTAACCGATGACAACTAACGCTTACATCAATCATATGGGAATCGTGGAATCCAAGTACTCGCCTTGAACCACATCAATCATATGGGAATCGTGGAATCCAAGTACTCGCCTAGAACCACGCTAAACTCCAAAGAACTTTGAATGGAGGGGGCTAAGGTCCGTTTGCAACTCATTAGAAAAGTCATTGACCTTTATTTATAACTATCAAAGACCATCAGACGCACGATGATGCGTGCATGACCTTAATTTTCTAATTCCAGACCTATTTGTGAACCCTGTTGTCTCAATCCAACTTAAACCCGCCTAGCATTTACTACTTGGCCCATTCCCAAATCATAATTCATAACCCACTATTTATTACCAATAAGCACATTCAACTTTGTATCTTATCACATAATCACATCATACAGCGCGGTCATTGATTACCGTCATGCATCAACATAATAAAATCAAAAAATTACAAACTGATTCATAGCTTACGATACCTCACTATCGTTTGGCGATAGTTGGGTACCATCTAGCGGCATTGCTCACGATAGTATCCTACTGGACTATGTGAACAATTTCAGTGAGTTCGGGCGTGTCACTGTACACCTCTACCACTACCACTGGCTCGTAAGGCGTTATCATCTAACGAGCTTGAACAGAAACCAGTCATCTTCAACCTTCGTCCGACGAACTTTGACGAATTCCAGAACTTGGTTTGATGTCGATGCATCCAAAATACATTATTAAACACACATGAACATAAATAAGTCCTAAAGCTTTCTTCTAATACATTTTAAATCATAAAAGGTTAAAAATGATTTATCGACAATTTTGATGATCACGCTCATGAATTTCTTTATCAATTGCTAGGGAGTATACGAGAGAGAAATTAAACTTTACTAACTTGGTTTTTGAGGTTGTATGTAGTCCCTTTCTTCCCGTACGTTAGGCTACTGTGTTTTTAGCTTGATTATTTGGATATTTTGAGTTTGGATGATGATTTTAACATTGTGAGTTGGCCTTTTATTAAGCAGTAGGGTAATTTCCCGGCTCATCATCTTGCTAGATGTAACATAAAGTGTGACCAAATGGTCTGGTTGGGGTCTTGGCCACCATATATCACCCCTTATGTTGTAACTGATGCATTAATAATATGATGTTCGGTTGGCTCGACAAAATAATGTAGCTCGTTCGGTATTCGAATCTCAGGCCAGGTGAACGAGCTGTACAAAAAGTACAATTCCTGTAAATAAAAATCCAATTGCCAATTTATCCTCATCCAGACCAGCTCACTAATTAATTATTAATTCTTCAAATTAACCAATAATTTGAGTGGCAGATTACATATATGCTACACAAGTTTAAGGTTCCCAACATAACTTTGAAAAAAACACAAACGTGCATTGTACAAGTGCCAACTACAGGAAAGACTTAAACACCGCTCCTACTACCTCTCCACCAGGCATTGGAAGGAATAAACAAAAAAAAAAGCCCACGATAGTTCGGATAAAAAAATTGGAGGCTTCTTTAAGGTGTTATAATTTCACTCAACAAGAAAAAGACATAAATATAAATATATCACAATAATTAAACTATCTGTTAAAATAATATTCTGTATAATCTAATCAATTAAATTATGTAATTGTTATTCTGTCTATCACTTCTTCCCTAGACAACATTTTCAATGGTAGTGGCAGTGGAACTATGTTGGATCAGATCTTACCTGAACTTAGGCCGCTTTGAGGGAGGAGCAGCACTACTACTTGGCCCTGCCCCCCTTGACTTACTAAAAGTGTTCTTTCTTCGTCGCCTCTCATCCTCACTGTCTGACTCATCACCTTTCTCCCTATCCGCATGGCTTGCCTCCGTTTCCAACTCTTCCCATGTTTTGCCTTTCTCCTCTTCCGACTCCTCTTCTTCGTCTTCTTCCGACTCCACCATAGATTCACTCTCGGACTCATCATCCTCAGAATCTGATTCGGGTTCGTCGTCTGTAGGCTCAAACTCTCCATCTGATTCCTCTGTATTGTCGGTTTCAGAGTCCCTCCCTTCCAAGTTCAAGAACTCCCAGCCACCATCATCTATGAACTTCTGTGGATCATCAACGATCGTTTTTAATATGAGGCGCCAGTTCAGATTAAGCTTGCTCTCGTAGTACTTGGTGTTTGTGGTGTCAAGCCACTCTTTGATGCCGTCAAGTGAGGATATAGGTATGGAATCTATACGCATGACGTCACATTTGAAGTCCTTGAAAACAATTGCCATGTCAAAGTTCTTCTGTCCAAAACCTGCCCTCTCCAAATTGACAATCTCTATCTCACCAAGGGTGATGACAAGGAATGGAGTCTCTATCAGCTCAACCAAACAGCTTGAGGTTGGAACTATGAAGGCTGATGATTTGTAGGGAACACCATGAAACCCAAGCTCTCTCAGAGGTTGATCAAATTCCAGGTCAAGACCTTTGAACTGGGGCTGGCTCCAGATATCATTCACTCGATTCACAAAATTCTGAAAACCCATGTTGATTTTGTTCTTCCGATCCCTCTCCCTCTGTTCTTCTTCAATCTCATCTGGGTCATACGCGGACCTCCTTCCACCCCCAATGGTTTGAACGATATCCATCACCTCCACATAGAACTGCACATCCTTGGTTTTCTTGGTCCCCACCATTATGTGGTTGTGGAGATGAAAATGAAGGAGTGTGATCATTTCTTTCTCTGCTGGCTGGAAAAAGGCATGCTTGACATTGACATACATGATGTCAATATGTACATCTTTTGAGGTAGAATATCGAAACCCATTCACATGAGCTTCAAGAGTGCCGGGAAGCTTTCTACCACGACCGCCAAAGGAGGCACGTATCCACAAGTCAGACAACCTGACCGGCTTAAATCTATTTCCAGCTAGTACAAGTTTCTCTTGAGTGACTAAAGTAGCTCTCTCAGCTTTTTCAGACTGCCTTTGCACGACATTCTGTCTCAGTGTTTTAATCCTCTGGACCACTTCACTTATGCGTCGAGAGTCCTTGGAACGATATGAAACCTCCTTCAGATAAATGGCTGATTGATTCTTTGACACAGAACTTACATCAGTGGGTGCAAAAGGCATGCCTGGAACAATGAAGATGATTCGAATGTAAGAGTTATGATTAGTGTCAGACTGACTTGTCACGGTCTTCACAGTAGAGACATGGAAAGGCACCATGCTTCCATATACAGGTAGAAGGAGAGCTTCATTCTTCTGGTCAACCTGGATCATCATGTCTTTCGGAGGTGGTGGTAGATCATTGACATTCTTGTAGGCTACAAGTTCACTTGAAGCCCGAACAGCTGACCGATTATCTCCACTAGTGGCACCTTCACCCGCAAGACGTCTAGAAGTTTCTACAATTTTCTGCCGCGCTAGTTCCGCTTGGTGCTGCCTCCGCAGCTCTTCCTTTGATATCTCTTGATTGTCTGAGCGAAGCGTTGCCTTCGAACGCAAAGCTTCCTTGCCAATCGAATTGGCTTTGAATTCATGCTTCTCTTCCTCTTCGTCCTTGTTGAATAAAAATTCCACGTCCTTGAGAGCTTTGGAGATCAGCCGGGTTGCAACCTCGGGGCTTTCCCTTGTTACAATCACTGTGTCTGCAAGAAGAAGTGAGAAATTCCTACTCTTGGGATTGCTGGTCACAGCCTGCAGGTTCTGAAAGCCCAGAGAGACATTAAAGACCATTCCTTCTTTCAGCAGTTTATCATTTTTTGCATTTAGCAGCAATCCTGACTCTCGAAACTCGAGACCGATTCCTGTTCCTGCTGATTTTGTTAAGTTTCTAACCAGTTCGGGGGCATCCTTCTGAACCACAGCAAGTGCCGCCTGATAAACAACATTGATCTTGTTACCTGGTTTCAGGGCAGCAATTGCCGCCTCTTGGGCTTTGAGAAGCACTCCATAAGCCTTGTTCTGCATTGAAGTCGAATTAATCAGAAATGTTCTAGCAACATTTGAGCAGTAATTGTTGTATTGAGACCTAACAGCACATATGATTATGCTGGCAGAATCATAATACAGAGTTTCATCATCGCTAATAGCACTCGGTCTGAGGTCAAATTTCCCACCACTCTGGAAGATGGGCGGGTAACAAATATCAATATTCTTAGGATTCAGCTTCAATTTTAATTTATGTGGTTGAAGCATAGTCTTTTCTGTCTTGTTGGCGAGTGAGGAATGTGTTACTCTTCTCTCCTCATTTATGACTGTCTCAAGCTCTGGAACAACAAAGAGCTTTAATGTAGTAGCAGCCAATGAAGCAGCATCCCTCACACATGTTATCTCGTTATGGTCTTTCAAAGCTAAGATGTCAGATATTCCATGTGTTATATCACCAAGCTGCAGCCCAGACTTCTTTAACTTATCATCCCACGTCTCAAGGAGTTTACCTTCAGGGGCCTCTTTTGCGATGTACCCAACCACAGGTGACTTCATTTGTGTACGGATAGAATTGAAAATAGCATCCATCTGTGTAGTACCATCCTCACTTTTGGATTTCACGTGCATGACAATATCAGCACCAACAACGCCTTGAGCAGTTTTTGTCACAGCATCAAGCAAGGATGCTATCTTTTGGCTACATAAGAAATAGATCCTCTTTTCTCCGAAAACCATAATTGTTTCTGGGAACTCGTGTCCAAGCAACCAAATACTCATGGCAGAAGATTTCAAGTACCTCGAGTCATCAGGTGTTGCTATAGCTAGAACATTAGAACAACCCCAAATACCATCTCTATATTCATTCCAATGAGCATATAGTGCCTGAAGCCGACTACTAAACTTGTCAAATCAATTTTATAATCACTTCCAGCAGATGAATGCCCACTGGCAGGAGGTCTATTGCCCGTGTGCTGTTCCAGCATACCTAGACTGCACAAATATGAAATGCCAATTGGTATTTATAAGTTACCAAAAAAACTACTTGAACATTTTCCAATGCAAAAATCATACTCCCTTTGTCCAATTTTTAAGTTCCAACTTTCGTCTTTTTGTAGGTCTCACCATAAAGTTCACATTCTTTTTAAGGAATGGATTGTGTGTCACATGTTATTTCTCTCCTCTGCACAGATTTTAACAGCAGGATTTCAGTTTTTTTTCTAAATAGAGCTAATAATTGCCAAGAAAGCTTAGAAACCCACATATGCTGGAAGTGCAACTAATGTTTATATTTCTAGATGAAACCTCGTACCCACAGTCAATAGATTAAATGTTCATAGTTTCACAGATTACATGAATAAAGTTCAAAATCTAAGAAAGCTTAAATAATTTCACAGTTTGAAGATGGAGAGAGAGAGAGAGAGCGTGAAAACGATATGTATACCTGATCGAGTATGAACAATCGTGTGTTGTTCCGGAAACGGATGGAGGAGGCCGTCTGGTGTCGGACTCCCTTCTTGATCGATCGATCTCTCAGTTTTCACAGATTTCCCCAATACCCCTCCCCCTCCCGATGATTTATCGAATTTCTGTGAATATGGGCGGAAAAACTTGGATTTTATAAGATTGCCCTGGCCCCTCCGCCTCCGCGCCCAAAACGAATATCCTCAGGAGCCGGAGATGACAAAACCTAGGCTATTTATTCTCTGGAAGAAACGGTTAAAGGCGGGTTTGGTGAGCCTAGTAGATGAGTTTCCATATCTTACTATGCCTATTTTTTGATCTAGACATAAAAAAAAATTGAATTTATCAAATGAGATAGTTTATCAATTTGATAGTTTCATAGATATCAAATGAGATATCAATGTGGGAATTTGGAATCTCCCTCGAGCGTCGACCATCCCTAACACCGTCTACCACCTCCGTTATTGATGACCCCCGCCAATTACTAATAAAATGATGATTTTATATTACCCAAAACAACTTCATTTCAAGTTTCGAAATTCATTTCATTTTTTTCATATTTCAAAATTCATATCATATCATTTTTTCAAATCTCACCGAATAGAAACACTACAAGCATTTGAAAAATCAGAAGGAACGAAAAAACTAGGAAAAGATAGATGAAGTGAAAAAAGTTTAAAAGCGAAAAAAACTTGAACTTGATTTTGATCTCTTTCAATTAAGTCAAACCTGTATGTTTTAAATTTAAATTTTTTTCTCTTATTATTTGTTTGTATGTCAAACTTTGTTTCAATACGTATTTTGTTTTATTTTTTAACTCATACGTAATATGTATGTGTGTGTAATTTAAAAAAATGTTTAAATCACTCGTCCGACCAATTGAACCACTGATTCGACCAGTGAACCATTACCTGGACCAGTTCGGTCACCGGTTCGATTCTAAAAACTATTATATTTATTATTGTTGTTGTTGTTGTTGTTTGTTGTTGTTGTTATTATTATTATTGACATCCTTTCGTATCAATATCAATAGTTTATTTTCTTTTTTGTAATTTGTGAATTGTTAACTACCCGTGTTATTGCTGGGGAGATGGGAGGAACAACAATGCTACGAAGCAATGTTATGGAATCAGTAGACGAAGAACGTGAAGAACGACTTGATAGACTTAGTGAATCACATACAAACACTTTTAGATTAAAGTTATTTTGGTGTATACCATAATATTTCAACTAGATAAGAAGTAAGTAATCTAGAACGAGTATGCATTTTTCGGTTGTATCTCGAAACATATCAAGGTGCCATATTTATAGATAAATTCTGAATGGATGCGTTGATTGATGAAACAATCAACTTTGGGTTACATTCAGATGTTGGTTCTCTAACATTCAAATGTTTAATGGCGGGTTGGGTTGAATAGTTACTTCTGCAGTTAAGTGTGAACCGTTGCAACTTATCTCGAAATATTCGAATGTTTAGGTTCAAACATTCGAATATATCAAGCAGTTTCCATAAAATGTGCTGGATAAACACAACATTTGATTGTATTGACTTGTAGATTTGAATGTTCATTATTTTGAACTCAATTTACGAAAATCCAAAGGATTTTCCTAAAGCTACGACATCCAAAGAAAAATTTCTCACCCCAGCCAAAGGCTCCGCCTCTTGGGCCCTGCTCCTAGGCTTCCACCCCTAGATCTTGCTATAGAATTTGTAATATTATTGAACGAGCATGCACTCCGCACATCCAAGCCCGTTAACAACGTCTATTAAAACTATAGTTCATTCTAAGTAAATCCCAATTACATAAATAACTGATACACTAAAATCACCAACAGTTATAAAAAAGGGAGAACTACCTCACTATGCTTATAATATGTTTCACTATCTGTAACGGGACTTTGGTTGTTTTAATACCAAAATTGATAGTGAGAATGTATTCAACGCGATCTAAATGTTAAAATAAGCATTTTTTAAAATAAAAAATGCGAGAAAATCCATGTAAACCTTAGCATCATAATAGATCTTCTCTATAAAAAAAACTATATTTGAACCATTGATTCAATTGTTTGAATCACATATTTGACATGTTAACTTTTGAATCTATGTCATGACATGTTTGGTAATTAGTTTGGTTTTAAAAATCGGGGAGAGAGAGTATACCACCATGAAAATAAGGAGTAACTACTTCATACGTTTTATAGGCCAAAAACGCGAGTACCCAATACCCTTTTGGGTGAAATTAGTATGGTATCGGTGAGACACGGTTTGGTCAGGTTCCCAAACAGTTCTCGAATAGATTCATAATACTCTTTTTATTTTTATGATAGTTTATCTTTATTGTGAAAAAATATATACTCCAAATATGAATATTTTAAATTCATATTAAATGTAAACTATTTGTAAAATATAATGTATATTAATACAGAGTATATGATAATGATAATGGTATAACAAAAAAAATAAAACCAATATCAATATCAAAATTCTCGATCTGATGTCTTATTATTAAAATCCAAAATCATGTTCATCACCTCCATTTCCATTCGTGTACAGTAGCCCTACCTCATTCCTCACCAACATCAATTCTAAATTTCTAGTAGAGTTTAAAAATCGTTGGTTTCGATACCGATGCCGAACCGAAACCATGTCCAAGCTTACCTTTAGGTCATACTTTTAACTCAACGTTCTCATTTCATTCTCATTCAAGGATGTGGATCCACCTTTCGTCCCTTTTCTTTTTTAATACTCCATCCATCCTCCTAAAAAATCATACGGAGTAATTGTCCATACTTTTATTACCAAGCCTATTACATCATACTTTTTCACTAATAATTTATTCATCATATTATATTTTTATCTATCACATCAAGAGCAAAATTGAAAAATTAGTCACAAATATACATTCCATATTTCTTCTAACAGTCAAAATCGAAATCATTTTATGAAACAGAGAAATACATTATTGTTGTAGAGGTTGTAAAAAATTGGAGAGCTAAAACACTATTCATTGTTAAAATACGGAGTAACATTTACCATCCCATCTAGGGGTGGACACGGTACGGTTCTGGGACGGTTCCGGTTCCGGAACTGTCGGTTCCGGTACCCCCACCCCATGTAACCGGAGTCGATACCGTGCCGGCGGGTACCGGTTCTGGTTCCCGGACCGGCCGGGTTCGCCCCCCCCCCTATTTTTTTTTTGCTTTTTTTTTAAATTTTTAAAGTATAAAATTGTAAATTTGCAATTGTTTAAGGAAAGAATGAAATAAAAAATCTAAAAATGTAGTTGTTATTTAAATATTGAAAATGAGTAATACACTACCTGAAGAACAACCACATTTAATATCCTGACGGTTCAAAAAAAGCGACGAGGTAAAGAACCGTAAAGAAACCCTCGAAGGAGCTTATATATCGCTCACCTAAAAAAATTAATTACATATTTACATTAACATAAAAAAAAATTATAACTTATTCTTCAGAACTCGGACTTCCATCTATGGTTGCATTCATGTAATGCTCCGATTCGAGTTGGTACGATGACTCTTGAGCCCGACGTCTTGGCAAGAGCCAATCTTGGTTGCAAACCAGTGTTTCAAGAGATTCAGCGTTAAGACAACTTCGGTAGTCGGTTAGAATGTTGCCGCCAGCACTGAATTCTCGTTCAACTGCTACGGTTGATACTGGGACGGACAACACTTGTCTTGCTAGCATGCCGAGACATGGGAATATGTGTTCGTTCCGCTTCCACCATCCGAGCACGTCAAAATCGACATCGTCGTCATCGTAATCGCATGGCACACCCTGGTACATAGCAAGTTCGTTGTGCGAGCTTACTGTTGTACCACTTGAACTCGTCGAAGACTGGACACGTTTCCCTTTCTTTGCAAGAAGGCCACCGACTATGCCGGCAAAACCTTTTTTTGATTCCGGGGGCGGAGGTGGTGCTGTTTCTTCTTGTACAGTACCGTATAACCCTTGATATTCCTT